TAAAAAAAAAAAAAAAAATAAGAAAAAAATAGTGTACTCGCTGAGCACAGCGAGCGGAGGACGAACTGCGTGGATCAGCTGCTAAATGGCCTTCGATAAGATCAAAGTCGTTAATCCGATCGTTGAGATGGACGGTCAGCTTCATCATATGCCCAAAACCCTTCTAATTTTTCACAATCTGTTTGTTAAATTCCGATTTTATACGCGTATAATGTATGTAAATAATGAATAAAGATGCTTTCTTTGATCTTTTTTATGTAGTTTTTCGCCTGTTTTTTTGCCCCTTTTCTTGGTTCTGAAGAAATTTAAGTATTTTAGTAATTTGGGTCATGGAGATTAAGTGTAAAGTTGGTTTCTTGGTTATGGTGGAGATGCTTGTGATCAGCTTCTCTTAGGATGGTGATTGATTTGCTGGTGAAAGTTTGAAGTTGAAGCACAAGTGTACTGTTCATTTGTGATGTTTTAGTTTTTGTCCTCATGTTTTTATGTAATTGGGAAAGTGCTAACTGCCACTTGTGTTGTTTCGGTATTAATCTTGCTTCTCGGTTTGGATTTCATCTCTACTTAATTCGAGCTGTTTACTCGATTTTTGTGAGGAAATGGTTTCCCCACTTTATGCACAACAAGTAGAAAAATCGCTTAATATTATTGTAAAAAACCGATACTTTTACTCACCTCACCGGCCTCTCAATTTGGTTTGTGTTAAACGGGAAAAACCATCGTTTTGATTGTAATAAGGACTGTGGTGCAGGTGATGAAATGACTCGTGTGATCTGGAAATCTATAAAAGAAAAGGTGTGTGTATTTTGATGTTCTGTTTTCTTTTATTTTCGGAAAATAATCAGTGTACTGAAATCTTGAAGTTTTTTATTTTTTTTTCTTTTGGTTTTGTGCTCTGCAGCTTATCCTTCCTTTCTTGGAGCTAGATATAAAGTATTTTGATCTCGGTCTTTTCCATCGTGATGCCACTAATGATAAGGTTACGATAGAAAGCGCAGAAGCTACACTTAAGTATGTAATTTATTCTCAAGTTTTTGTAATTATGCTCTTGCGGGTTTCATATGATTGTAAGAATAAATTTTGTCATGTGCATTTACAGTTATTCAGATTAGAGCGTGAATGAGACTAGCAGTTCCCGTTTCTTATTGTTTGAGACGATATGACTTTTGGCCTACTCATGTGGGAGAAAACTAAAATCGAACTTTCTCATTTCCTCTTCACATTTCATGATTGGTTATATTGACTAGAAATTTACTATTTAAGAGTCACTCGGTATAATATTAGTTGAAAGAAGTTGCCATCTGGGGTTCGTTTATTTATTCATTTATATATATATTTTTTTTGTTGAGATAATATTTTAAAGAAGTCTAACGAGTATATCTAATATACTTTCCTGCAGTGAGGTTGACATTGAAATCATTTGTTACTGTTTCTGACTATTGTAGGTACAATGTGGCAATTAAATGTGCAACAATCACTCCAGGTATGTGTTCTTCGGTTGCTTGCCGGCTTAAAAATTTACGCTTTTTATTGCATTCATGATTAAGAAAAATCAATTTTTTTTTTTTTCTATTATGTTACTAGCATTCTGTAATATATTTCAATGTTTTATCTACCTTTTTTTTTGTTGGAATAGATGAGGCCCGAGTTAAAGAATTCAACCTGAAACAGATGTGGAAGAGCCCAAACGGAACAATTCGGAACATCTTAAATGGTCGGCAAATGTGTTGTAAAAGTTCTTCGATTTTGAATATTTCATATCCTTGCAGTTTTTTTTTTTACCCAAAAATTTATTTCCATGTAAATGCAGGGACTGTATTTAGAGAACCAATCATATGTAAAAATGTTCCCCGGCTTGTTCCAGGTGCCTATTAGCCCAATGACTTAAGATCACATAAAAATGGAGGCTTTTTCTTCTTTTAGTGACTATGATTTTTAAAACTTGTGTATTTATAGGTTGGACCAAACCAATATGCATCGGCAGACATGCTTTTGGTGATCAATACCGAGCTACAGATTTAGTTGTTCAAGGAGCTGGGAAACTTAAAATGGTGTTTGGTATAGTTTTTGATCATTATATAGTTTCTTAGTAGTTTTTCAAACAAATAGGAACGGGCTTTTTTTAACATTAATGGCATAAGTGAGTTATTTGAAATATTTTCTGCAGTACCAAATAGAGCAGATGAGAGCATAGAACTGCAGGTGTTCGATTTTACGGGGGCTGGAGGTGTAGCTTTATCAATGTATAACACCGATGAGGTTTGAACATATCAATTTCTTGAGCATTAGCTTAATTTCGGAAGTAGGCAGGTTAAAAATCTAAAAAATTATTAGGTTTGACACATAATACAGTCTATGAATTAAAATACTGTAAGGCAGCTAACAAATTTAATATAGCCTTGATGTTTTTGCATGATGACAATACTGATATATACTTTCTCTTGTTTAGTCTATCCGTGCTTTTGCAGAGGCTTCAATGAACACGGCTTACCAAAAAAGGTGGCCACTGTATCTTAGCACGAAAAATACGATTTTAAAAAAGTACGATGGAAGGTAATTCTTTTTTACTTTCTCTAGTTTTCTTCAGTTTCTACATCATCATGTAAATGGAGCTCCCGATCTACATTTTTCTTTGATTTGTTTTTTTTCAAATGATGAAGATTCAAGGAAATTTTTCAAGAAGTGTATGAAAGAGAATGGAGATCCAAGTTTGAGGCTGCTGGGATATGGTAAAAACCTCAACTTTCAAAAAGAGTATGATAATAAACATTGAAACCATTTTTTTTTTTTTTAATCTCTTTTTATATTGACATATTCTCTCGATAAATAAGGTATGAACATCGTCTTATTGATGATATGGTTGCTTATGCTCTAAAGAGTGAAGGAGGTTATGTGTGGGCTTGCAAAAATTATGATGGAGATGTTCAAAGTGATTTTTTAGCCCAAGGTTTGTATAGCCCTTCTCTTAGATTCGATTTTGCATTATTTTCGAATTTGCAAGTGACTATATATCTCTCTCAATGCAGGATTTGGGTCTTTGGGTCTGATGACATCAGTACTAGTAAGATTTTGCTGTATTATCAATCTTTGCCTACTGCTTTTCCTTAGATTTACAGTGATATTTCATCTTAATTTAAAAAGGAAACCCCACTAAATTCGAACAAAAACTATATTGAAAGTTAAAGCTCGCCTTACAAAACAATAACCCCAACATTTTTTCACAAATTTTAAATTGCATCCACAACTTTTCTTGATATCAAGAAAACGGAGGTGAAAAATTGGGGGCTTATCTCTTATATCCAAAATATCAAGGTGTAATTGTAAAAAAACGGATATACCCACATAAGCAAATTCCATCATTGAGACAAAAATGTAAAATGAAAGTCAATAGTAGTTATTTGTAGATGTTTTTCTTCCTTCTATCCGACATTTATTATTGATTAAATAGGTTTGTCCCGATGGAAAAACAATCGAGGCCGAGGCAGCACATGGCACGGTAACACGTCATTACCGTGTTCATCAAAAAGGTGGCGAGACGAGCACTAACAGCATAGCCTCAATCTTTGCCTGGTCTCGGGGGCTTGCACATAGGTAGTACACTGAGTTATTAATTTATTTTTTTTCTTTTAATTTTTGAAGTTGGTGCATAATTATTATTAATTTCTTTTTTAGAGCAAAGTTGGACAACAATTCAAGACTCCTGGATTTCACTGAGAAGCTCGAAACTGCCTGCATTAAAACTGTTGAGTCTGGAAAGATGACTAAGGATCTTGCTATTCTTGTTCATGGACCTAAGTGAGTACAATTTTGCGATTTATTTCATCTTTTTTTCGCAATACACGCGTTTTAGCACGCAGGATTGCAACCGATCCAAATCATTCATATTTTTTAGGCAAAAATGCATTTTTTAGTCCTGTTTGTTTAACGCGATATCAATTTTAGTCTCAAGCTTCCAACTTTTCGCCTTTTGATCCTATAATTTAATATCTTGCTGCAATTTCAGTCATTTGAGGACTGGAATTGCAACAAATTATATGATTGAAATTGCTAATAAAAAATCTACAAGTTCGGGAATTTGTTGCAATTTCAGCAAAATCATAGAAACAAAGGCGAAATGTTAGAATCTTGGGATTAAAAATACTATGTCGTTAAAGTAGCAGGACTAAAAAAATGCAATCTAGCCTAATTTTTATTGTTATCACTATTTTACTAGTGTTACACATTTGTTGTGATATTTTCTTTTAGAAGTATTTATGCTCGAGTCCCATGCAGGGTGACCAGAGATCGGTATCTAAATACCGAAGAGTTCATTGATGCCATTGCTGCAGAACTGAGAAATAGACTGCCAAAACAGGCGAAACTATAAATCAAACGATAGCTTCTCGTGCGTGTGAAGCTTATAGTTTGTATAACGTACACTATCAATAAAAGCCTACACAAGTTCTGCATATGGGAGGTGGCTTAGCTCTGGATCCTCTAAACTTGCAGAATAAAACTACTCACTTTAACCAATCAAATCTAACCAAACTCTTTGATTTATATCAAATAATGCCCCGACCGGACCCCAAGTTGTGGTGGTTGTCGATGGTGTTGAGTTTTAACGTAATTGACTTCTTTGGAATAAAATCAATATGTTATTAAATCTGTTCTCTCTCTTTTTTTTTTTAACGGAAAATTATATTTGTTCTCAGTTCTCTAGTTTCATACGTGTATTTCTTTTATATATTTTTTATTAGGTTGTGTTTTCTAGTTCTAGTTTTTTTTTTTTTT